AGCTGTCCCCGAGGATGAGGACGGGCCCTGGGAGAGCGCCGAAGGCAGGTGCCGAGAGGCGAGAGAGAAGCAGGTCTGAGCACAGCTCTGGATCCCTTTTGAATCATTTTATTTTCACCACCGCAGAGAGTAGGAGTGAAAATACCATTAAGTTGAGATCAGTCAGGAACTACGTATGTCTATAAATGTATCTGTACAGTCTACCAGTATATATACACATTATATATAAATATATACATAGGATCTCCGGGTTTAAGGCTGAAACCTGTCGAACCCAATAAAGCCCGCTGGAGGAAGATTGGGAGAAGAGACTCTTGCTAAAACCACCACCCCCAATTAGCACGGGAGTTTAACGATCCTCCCGTCGCTGGCCGTGGCCCAGCTCCGACGCGTGCAGGGCAGGCCAGGAAGGCAGGAGCGGGAAGCGCTGGCGTTTCCCACGGGCTCCAGGGAGATTCCCGTTCCTGCCGCCCTTCCCGCCGAGGGCGACAGTCGGTGCCCGGCCACGCTTATCTCACACCAGCCTCATTCTTGGTGGCTGAACACAAAGGAGGGCAACTGCTCCTTTAATTGCTTTAATACTTATTTCAGGTGGATTTTTTTTTTTTCCTCTAATGCTCGGCCTTCAATTGAAATCCTAAGAATCAGGAAGAAAAAAGGAGAATAATCCCCCCTAAACCCGGACGCCCTATATATGCAGGTACAGCTATCAAAGAGGGAAGCGATACATATGGAAATGGGGAGAAGGGGGAATAAAAAATGGCTTTTCCAAAAGATTTATTCTTCCTTTTTCTTTTCTTCTGCCAAAAAAAAAAAAATAGAGCCAAAACCAGACATATGTGTTTGGTTCAAGAAAGCAAACAGGAGTTAAATTTATAGAGTCGAGCGGTAAAGTGGAGAGGAGCTGCGAGAGCAGAGCAGAGATTTCACAGGCATAACCCAGCTCCAGCAGAGCCCGGATTCACACCCACATCGCCACGGTCAGCATCCAGCCCCAGGTACCTAAATACAAGAGCGAGATTCACGCCGGCATCGCTGTTGAAGCAGCAGTCTCTGCTCAGGGCGCTCGCTTGCAGCCGGGGGGCCCCGCTGGCGTCGGGGCCTGCCCGCCGCAGGG